TCCTGCCCATTGCACAGACACAGTCTTGCTTCTTTAAAACAGTTTTGCAGTTTTGCCAGGCAACAGTCTGTTACAGTATACATAAATGTGATTTTGTTTAGGGGACATGAAGGATGCATGTGACAAAAGAGTAGCAGCATATCAGCCACAAACTAAAATCCGTTACTGTATTTTAGTTTATTGATCTACTGTAAGCTTCTCAACATTGTCTAATTTAAATAAAACTTCAATTTGTAACAATACTATAAATAGAAGGCAATATTGATCAGAGTGCCACCAGCCTGCTGAACTTTTGTTATCACTGAAGCCTGACCAGTTAATGTTGAATGTTACAATTTATTACACTGCAAAGTACAATACAACACAATAGCATTTAGATTTATAAACAAAGATATGCTGAACTACTGAAAGCAAGTTCAGTCAGCTCTGAACAAGACGAGCGTTCTGATTTACTGGTACTCCACAGCACTATTTCCCTACCTGAGGCAATATTTCATTACCTCTCTGATACAAACACCTGTTAACTCTTCTGAAGACTGAAAAATTTTATTTCTTTTAGACTCTTTTAAACCCCAGCAGAACATCTGATGTCCATCAGCAAAGATTCATCACTACACTATTAGGGTTTTTTGAGCTTTTGAGGAACATTAGCAGTTAAGATGGGCAAACGATGTGCTGGGAGACAGAACCTTCATAACAAATAGCAGCAGATACCAGACCCCTAATGTCCCTTCTTTTCTCCCCCTTTTCCCTTTCACAGGAGTAAAAACTGAAGTAAATAGATGTAAAAACAGCATACTTTCAGGTAAAATCCACATTAGAGGCTGTTCTCAGGCAGCAAGCATTCACTAGACAAAGAATATTTCATTACAGTTTTTCTACTCCTGAAGGTGCATTGTTTCAAGGAAATTACTGAATTGCCTTAAAGCAAGTTCAGTGTCCCTGTACTCACCATCCAGGAAAGCACTGGTGCTGCTTTTCAGAAGGCATGTGCTCACTTTCCATTCTAGGTGCAGAAGAGAAGGCTCCTCGTGCTCTCCTCCTCTTGGAGAGTAAGGCCACTGGGATCACCTACAAGACAGAAAAGCATCAAAGGAAACAGGTCTTTGGGTTTTGCTTCAGAATAGAGGAAAATCAACACTTCCCAATCAGAGCTTCTCTACCCTAGAGCTGTAAGTGTGTTCTTTTTTTTTTTTTTTTTTTTAAAAAAAAAAAAAAAAAAAAAAAAAAAGAGGAAAAGCCATTAAAGCCATTAGCTGGGCCTGGAGGCACCACTTCTTAGCGAAACACAATGCTCACCCACATCTGGACAAGAGGACATCATAAACCAGCAAGGCATGGCACAATGTAGACTGTTCAGGCCCTCCAGGGGGCAAATCCTACGGCAGTACTATAACAGACGAGAGCCTCTGTCTGCAAGGGTGGGAAGAAATATTAACATGAGCGACGTGTATTTACCACTTTCCTGTAAAAATCCCAGAAATATGACTCCACCAGTTATTCCACTCAAACTCTGAAAATGTGAAAAGGTGAAACTCTGATATGAATCTGCCTGCACATGTTAAAATGAGCATCAGAGAAGGGATCTGAATCTCAGAAGGTAGGCTGCACCCAAACACAACGGGCAGGAGGGACCCTTCAAAGCAGAGAAGTCCTCTTACCCACTTTGTCTTGCCCAGGCAGATGTCTTCCTTTGTTTCCCTCTGACCGGCAACTTTTAACGATTTCCTGCAACTCTTCCTCCTTCATGTAGCCCGTCCCTATTCTCTGTCATAGCTGGTTCCTTCAGAGAATAGGCCTCTTCTCCTGTCATCACAGAAGTCTGTCTTCTCAGGAGGTTGAAGCCTCCTCTGTGCCCTTTCCTTGGTCTCTGCCACACCCACACATCAGCACATGTCACAGAGACTGGCTGCAACCCAGGCGCACTCTTTATAAAGAAAAATAACCTATGCTACAAAACAAACCACAAACATAAGCCTGAGAGCATCTGTCCAGGACACGCTGCTTTCTCGAAGGAGAACTAAGCCATAGTTTGCCGGGGAAGAAGCTGCAAGAGGAGCAGCGGCCTTCAGCAACAGCCCTTTTTGGAGAGGAATGCCAGCCCCCATGGGCTACTATGAGCGGCGCACCAGCCCCAGCTCCAGACAAGGCAGAAATGCCCAAACACCCGCCAAGGCCCCGGCTGCAGCAGAGGGCAGAAAGGAGGAGGATCTACAACAAATTCAGCTACAAAACAATGCAGGGAAATCATGTACATAGCACCGATACCACTCTTATTTGAATTAAAAAACAATAAAGTAAATAAAGTAATATTAGTACACACATTTCCTGAGAAAATTTTCTCTCTACAGAGCTTGATGTCTATTAGCCTTCAGCCAAAATAAATGTCACCAGACAGTAGATTCCTTCTTTTCTTCCTTTAACAGAGAATGTAATCCAATCTGATGCTTTCAGATTGGGAAATTATTTTATTTAATCAGGAACAGTATCTAAACCACTGTTACAGAAACAATGTCAGCATTTTAATTTGACTTATTTAAAAAAAGAACAGGTATGTTGAAATGTTTTCAGGTGAATGGGACATGATTTAATGGGAGTTTTGTGGGCAGGATATGGATTATTAGATTAACCTTTTAGTCTTTCATTCAAAATTCTGCACATCTAGATATTTTTGATACTGTCATGGTAGGGGTAACATGGTCTTAATGTGTTCACTATTTACAGGTGCATGCACTCCTAGTATGCCCTGACACACATAAATATGCTGACAGTCCCACTGTGCAGGCATTCCTGCAAACATAGTGCATCCCTCCTCAGTACCCAGTAAAGCAGCATAGGGAAACAAACCAAACTAAAATAAAAACAGTCATTACTATGACAATAATTTAAAGCTTCATTTTTAGGTAGCACAGATGTAAGGTACCCAACTTAGAGAGATCAGGTAGTCTGCAAATTAGTAAGATTCCTTGGTCAGGAATTGCATAGGAATTTGGCAAATATAACTGTCATTTGGTCCCTTCCTACATAAAATGTAATTTGATGTGACAATATTAATCAGTTCTTTAAATCTTTCTAGAAAAAACAAATTTTAACTTCAAATCACATCTTTAACTTCAATTTGAAGAATTCCCTAACTATAATTATTAATTTTTAATTTTACGCTGATGAAATCTTCAATCTACACAATTCCTAGTTCTGAAATTCATCCAAACAAGAATTTAAATAATAACATTTTACATCCTTGCAAATAACGAAGACAGGACAAAGCATGATTCTTTGCATAAACTGTTGCAAACATATCAGGAATATTTTCAAATAAAATTCATAAATAATATTAACTAAATAAAATATAGAATGTCTCAATCTGTTGTAGAAAGCTTTAAAAGCAGAAAAGAGGTTACATTCACTGAATATTTTATTCATTAAAAAGTATTGACACCAGTCTAATCAAAACTTTGGCTTTTGCATCCCTCTTTTCCTTTTCCAGCTGTCAAGTTCTGGTCTGAACACCACATTTGTTGACTTCTTCTGCCAAAGTCTTGTTTAGTTTATGGATTCACAACTGGACAGAAGGAAAAAGGGAGGCCTGAGACAGGCCGAAAGATAGACAAGAGGAGAGTTGAATAAAGCCAGATCAGGTGAAAAGGAAATGAGATCTGGAAAAAATCAAAAGGCAGGAGGCCTAGGGAAGGACAGGAGCACATATGGGAGAGGATTTTCAGATTGAAGGATATAATAATGGGGAATGGCAGCTGAGAGACAATGAAACCAGCAAACAGATGGAAGGAAAAAGTACAAGGAAAGAGAAATAAAGTTCAAAAGTGCCAGAAATAGAGTAGGAGCTATTTAACAGAGAATCAGACAGAGAGGGAAAGAAAGAGATAGAATGGAAGATAGAAGATTTGACTGTTGAAAAAAGCCCCTACATTAAACTCTTCATCACACAGGGTTCCACATCAGGAAGCTATATTTCTATTTCTTCCAAGAAAGTCCTATATTTGGAACAGTTTCAATGCTAAGGTAGAGCTGGTTAGAAAAAGAATGTATAACTGAACCTCCTGTATTGTTGTAATGTTAATAGTAACAATATCTATTTTAAATAATCCTACAAGTACTAGCCGGAACCTTCAGAGAGGTCCTCTCCATTTCTCTGTATATAAACAGAAAGAATTCCAAAAGGCAAATAAACACCTCTTGCCATCTGCTGAGAAGCAACCACTAAGGATCTTTATGAGTTCATTTTAATGAAAAACTTTTCAGAAATGCATTGTGTGTAACATGATCCATCAATGTTTCAGTTTCACAACCCTTATTAAGATAGACATGTACAAAATGTAGTAGATTATCTGCTTTCTGAGAACAATATACGAGTTACTGGATAATTTTAAAAAATGTATATTAATTTCTATAAACCTTACTTAAAAAAAAAAAAAACCTTGGCAGTTAGTATAGACCAATGTATACACATATTAGTATAAAACCTCACATATCTGAAAAGCTTACAGATTGCAAGTTTTTTGTTTTGTTTTGTTTTTTTTTACATAAATATGACCTATGCTAAGATATTTTAAAAACACATAGATTAAACTGTATTGGTTATTCATTTTTTTCATTCTTATGACTATTAAGAAAGTACATATTTAGGTGAACAAAGTGTTTAGGTGACCTGTAGAAAATTTTGCTGCCTGTTCACATTGGAAGAAAACTTTAATGTCAAATTTCCTGCCATTGACTAAAGGAAGACTGGATAATCTCTGAAAACAAATGTAGGTTAATAAAAATTTCATTGATAATTCAGTTTCTTCGTTGAATAGAAGGTACACCAAGGGCCTTTACCCTGCAAACAAGAATAAAACAAAGTACATCTACTCATGTCAGGCCTTAGCTCATAAAAAATTAGCAAAGGTCATTATATCGAGGAAACTCAGAACATCATAGATAGTCTAAAGATTTGTCCCATGGAAATCACTTTAATTTTACCTGCCACAGGGATCCGAAGGTCCTGCTCCATATCAGAAGGAATACTCATGCACAGCTGTAGTATCTATGTATTCTCTATAGTTAAAATGGGATAGTTTTTTCTTCTCCTTTCCTGAAAGTAAAAAAATTCTTATAAGAGCTTATTTCCACTTGAGAAGGAAAATGTTTTACAGAAGTGTAAGATCAACTATGAGGGGGCTTATACAGGTACAGCTGTACCATGCACATTCATTACAATTATCACATCACTAACTTTGTTACCAGTATGCAATTTCTGAGTAGTCTGGGCATGAGGTATCTGTTAGTGGACAGACAGGCAGCCCTTATAAACAGCCAATAATATTTCAGAAAGAAATAAATAGATTAATATTTAGGCAGTGTTATACATGCTGAATCACATTAATTTCTTAAATAAAAATGGCCATTGAACATGTGCCAAACCAATCAGCTCCTAACCTTATTTGGGTTGTTTGTTTTTTGGGTTGTGGGTTTGGGATATGTTTTAATGTATATTTTGTTTAAAATAAAGCCCCAGGTCAGTCTTAGTGTAATTTTTTTAGCTCGTCAGGTTATGAACCCTTGAAAAAAAGTGGTTTTAATGGAAAGGTTGACAACTCCTTAAGTGTAGTGCTGTGAATGATGGCACCTTGATCAGAGTTGTAGAAAACGTTCAACATGATATAAGCTACTGAACTAAGTTGTAAAATGACAAGGACTGAGTGAACAGTTTTTAATACAGATAATATTGTTCATGTAGTCTATAAATATAGAATTAAATGTTGACCTCTATCTCCCATGTCAAAAGTCAAAGTCAGTGTCAGCACATATTGTTTTTATTTGTTTCAAGAGAAAAATAGATCAACAACATTAACCTCACAATGAACAGAGAATTGAATGAATTAAAAAGTAGTACCCCATAAATCCCTTTCCTTTTATTGGCACAGTGATAAAAATGCCTAGGGCTTAGAGGAAAAGGGTAGTCGCAGACACTAGTCTGAGATGCTCTGTGTACACAGAGCTGTACATCACATGCTAAAACAGAGGAACAGAGATATTAAGATTTGTACAGTCTCATATAATACACAATATCCATCAAATTGCGTCATGGTATCCTGCAAAACATGGCATGTCAGATATCCCTAAGACAAGTAGGTTATCACAAGATCATTTTCAAGCAACATTAGCCTTCCACCTACATTTGAAAAACACATTTCACTAAACAGATTAAGTATGCAAAAAAAGACTTTATTCAATATTGTCTATAGTTGCAGTATACCAATAATTTAAGACACCACCTGGAACAAATTCCATTGTGTTTAGAGAGTTACTAGCTTCATTGGTCAGGTATCTCTTTAAATTGTTGGCTCATTGTGATAGGGCTGAGAGATATGACATTCTTCTCTTGTTTAAAAAAGTCATTTTTTTCCAAAACACCTCATAATAATAAAGGCTCCTATTTCACAATGCCGTAGTAAATTTGACAGTTAACTAACATGAGCAGTTTCAATTGCAAATTCAGTTTAATTGCAATTTTTAGTGCTGCATAATTAAACTGAAAATGTTCTAAAAAAATTCACATAGTCAAAACTAGGACAGAAACAAAAGCATTTTCACATTGGTTTAGGGGTTTTTAATCAGTTTCTAGAGAAACTGACAAAAAGTAATATTTAAAAATGAATCAGTTTAACAAAAGAAAAGCAATGGTATCATCTGAAAAATTCAGCTGTTAGGTTTTGTTTACATTTTCTTATCCTCCTACAGCTTGTAGGATATACACAAATTCTTTTGGTTTAATGCTCCAATGACTTTGCTGGCAATGTTGCATCATGTGAAAAACATTTTACAGCATTTGCACTGTGTACTAAACACACAAAAGCAACTAATTATGTTTGTCAAATCTGAGGCATGTTCTGTGGTAGCTTACTGGAACCAAACGCTGTTTTTCTTCTTGAAAAGGACTGGCTGACTTCGAGTTTCACCAGCAAAGTGTAGGCTTGGAGTGAATTCTTGACTCATACATACTGCTGAAGGCTGGTATGCTGAAGCTAATCTATACCTCGGCAAGAAGAGCCTTTTCAGGCTGAACATTCACAGGGTTTGAAAGAATTTTTACAGCTGGCTATAAAGAGCAACTTTTCTGCTCCACATGTATTCATGCAGCTTCTGGGCAGAGCCAGTCATGGCACTTTTCATAGCTGGATGATCAGAAGACTTCTCTATAACCTCTACCAAGGAAGCAAAGACATATATTTTATTATACTAAAGGATTATTGGTGTGTAGGGCAATACTGAATGGCTGTATAACCCAAGTCACTTAAGATCTTGCTAAGCTTGTAAACTTAGTCATAGCTTCACATAGAGAAAAAAAGTTCAAACAGGGTAGGTGCTTTCTAAGACACATGGTTGATAAAATTAGCTTCAACCTTGTGTTAAAAGATCTGCTTTTGACTTGAAGAATACAGCCTACTGCACAAAAAAAGGATGAGTTTGTCTCAAAGGCCTAAAAAAAGAAATAAAATGCTTTTTTCCTCTCTTTATGATGATTTAATTCAAAATGGGTTCTTTATACATTAACCCAGCTTGCATATTGGTAACATTATAATATTTTAAGTTTAAAGTTTAGCTGCTACAACAGTCAAGTAACAGATGCATCAACTCTATAGTGAGAATAATATGTTAGTTTATGGTAGGTGGTGGTTCTCCACTGAGAAACAAAAATAAGGTTCTGCATTATGACTTGTGTCAAGGTGCCCAGCTAGCAGTCTGGCAGCACAGACAGCTGCCAGTCTGCACCAGAAACTATTGGGACGAATACTAGTAGAAGTGAAGCTCTGCAGAAAGGGAGTGAAGAAGAGTCACAGAACTGCTGGATCTCCAGCAGCATCTCTGGAGAGTGTGCTGACTGGGGCAGGAGCTCAGCTGGGAGCTAAGCATGGGAATGATGCTGCAGTCTCCTCCTTGGCCTCATTTCTTCAGCTCAGCCCTTTAACTCATGCTTCTCTCAGTACACTGATATGGTTTGTTGAGGCTTGTTGTTCTTAAATGTTAAACAGCAATAAGTTCACCCCTTAAAAATGTCAAGTTTCCTATATATTTATAAAAATAATGACCACATTTATTAAACTGATAACCATATTGCTTAACATAATTCCAACACTAACAAGATGCTGAACACAGACAACTTCAAACATTAAAGAAGATTCAAGTATATGAACAGGAAATACAAAAATGACTGATAGTGACTGTTGATACTAACAGATAAAAACAAAGTTTATTTGTAAATAATAGTATCCCAACTCATAACTATTTACAATTTAAGAAATTCAGCAATCAATCCTGTGATATGAATTCCCTGTTTGTCATTTTCTCTGAGAATTTTGAAAGCTTTATTATGTTTGTTGTACAGGTGGGGAATGTCTTTCTCCAAACATCACCCAAGAAGTTTGGCATCAAATGTGGCATGATGGATTGCACAGATATATTACCTGGCATAAATAAATCAGCTCAAGTCTCAGTGTAGATGCAATTATAGATTACAAATAGCATATCTATATGTTAGGCATGTCTACGATTTTCAACAACATTTCTTATACAGTTTTTAAATATGTAGATACCTTTTCAAAAGTACAGCATTTAACTCACATAGCCTTTTTTCTAACAAATCTTCAATGTTAAATGACAACACCCTAGATTTATCAAAAATTGAAGATGTGTTCAACTTATTCAATGACCTTCTTAAATTCAGTGAATTCTTAAAAAGAAACATAGTTAATGTATTTACTATTTATTATTATTACTATTATTATATTAATAGCGAAATCCAGACAAGTCTTTGGCTAGTTGAAATTTTAGCATGAGCTCCAAAAACTTCACACATTTATCATACTGATTCCAGTTATGGAGAAGCAATTTAGAAGATGAGCATTGTAATAATCATTAGTTAAAATTCTCTGATACAAACTGGTGTTAGCTTCCACATTCAGAGCTGAGGAAAACATTCATAAGCTTTTATGTCTTGTAATAGAGAATTCACTGTTGACTAAGATTCAGATCCCATGTGTTCAGTCTCCCTACAGACATGAATTCTCTTTTAGGGATTCTATCAAAAAGCTCTCACTGGTAACAAAAACATAATAAAAATACACCATGATAAAATGCATTCAGTCAGTAGGATCTAAAGGTATTGAAACCTGCAACACCAGCTGCAGTAAAAAAAATAATCAGAAGTACAGTTTACCTTCATTTCTTGAAACCACTGTCACATGAGAGAGAATATTATTTTCTATTAAAATATACAACATGTAATTATTGATTCTTCCTGCATACTTTTTACGTCTTACATACCACTCCTTTAAAAAGATACATGTTTTAAACTTTCCATTGAAATAATAGCTAGATGATAACAAGGTAGGTAGGCCAATTTAAAATCTTGCAAGGGCATTAAGAACTTACTACTAGAAAAATAAAATTTAACAGAAGAAATTATATACCACATTTTCATATCTGGGCTTGCAGAAATAGCTTTTGCAGCTCCCATGTTTCCCTCTATAAATGTGCTCTTATTGTCAGTCTTTTCATCTATTTGAAGAGAAATAAGGACAACCACAGAGCTACGTATGTCACTCAAAAACACAAACATGCTCAGTGATATCATGGAAAACTAAATAAGAGCACAGACTTGCTAATAAAGGAAGGAGAGGGACTCCTTAGATTCTACAGTGAAAACAAGCTACAAACCAATCCAATTCAGAATTCATCCTTCTCATTTACACTGTAACACATTTGCGGGATCTAGTTTGCTAGAAATCGCCTAAGGGAAAAGAAAGGGTATCTAAAGTAATAAAAAAGTGCCAAAATGAATAAAGTGCTCACAACTACTATTGCTTTGCTGACGCTGGAGAACAGAAGCGGACGGGGTTTTGTCACAGTTCTTATATTACCCAAATGTTGCTGCTACAGTATTTCTGCCCTTTCAGTACAATCTGAAAAAAAAAAAAAAAAAAGTATATACATTACTTAGTACACTGACAAGCCAAACATTTTTATTAATATTTTAGTTTTTTACCCATTTATGGTTGCAAATTAATGAAATGACATGAGACTGAAGCCAGTGACAACTATTAATCTGTAAGCAACAAGCAAGGAAAAGCTGATAGGAGTACAGCTGTTTTATTTTAATTGAGGAATGATTTTATGTTGGAAGCACTCAATATTCACAGCAAATTAAAAATAATGAAGTGAATTGATACCAATGATATTTTTTTTACCTACTATCCCTTTGTAAATCTATTTCTTCACACAAATTGACATGTCTAATTGATACATACGCTATTATTCCTCATTAGTAGGCTGAATAAAATAATTCTTGATTAAATTTATTGCAATTTACAATCCAGCATAATGTTTGCAAGCTATAAAAGTCAATCAACAGGAAACAGAAAAAAACAGATGACATTATTACTTCTTATATATACACAATAATTTCATGTGTTTCATGGAACCATCCTAAGCATCTAATTTCTTCTCAGGAGCAAAGGTCTGTCTCCAGCAGGTCACTTCATTTTTTACATGACCATAATTATACTTCAGTGCATACATTCTTCTGAGTTTTGTGATAAATATCACCTTTAACAAGCAAATTATATCTGTATTTAGCAATCTGTTATAAGTTGTCTGGAAGAGTTAGTCTTTTACTAACACTCAAACAAAATTATGCAGAACAGCTGATGATTTACTTTGTCTGGATTAGGGTGTTTGATTTATACTGTGTTATCACTTTATGAGAAAGGTTCAAGCAAGTAGCAAAAATTCTGAATTTCAATGCAACAAAGAAAATCAATGGCAAATTTGACAAGCGAAATATATATTCTATAATGCAAAATTTCCAACCAAAAAGAAAATTGTATCAATGACAGGTCAGTCTGTTCTTTATAATTTTAACTTATTCCACACCTTGCCCTGGCCTCCACTATTTTCTGGGAAATTCTCTGGCATTATGAAACTAGTAGAGCGGATATCTTCTCTAATGGCAAGAACGGTATGTTATGACCAGACCATTTCTGTGGCCTATTGCTCCCATTTCTCTGGAGAATGCTGGCAGCTGGCACAAGATTGCTGCCCTCACTTAAGCTGGCCTTCAGACTTGGGAAATAATTTACCTGAAAATGCAGTATATATGCTATATCTAGTACAGACATAGAATAGCCATCCTATTTTTGTCATCTTAAGTTAATACAACTTCTTTTTGAGGAAAAGTTTCTGATGCCCTGATTGTGTCTGTGCCCTGATTGTAGCCTGTGTCTCAACTTGCCCAGATAAGACAGAAGAAATCGCTCTAAAAATAAGATACTATTGCATAGGACCACAGAATTGGATTTAAAAACTAAACTGTTTTGGGAATGTTTTCCATTTGTATTACATATCATGTTATTTGTAAGACATTTAGTAAAATCTTATTTTCAAAAAATTTATTTCTGGTTCAAATCTAAGTTCAATTTATAGAACTGATAGGGCAGTCGCCATCTAAAATTAAAAAAAAGAAATACATAAGTTTTCACATGTAACTGAAATTAAAGTATGGATCTTAAAGCTGTAACATGAGAGTTCCCTTTGAAAAATAATCTATTTTTTATTATACAGATATTTTAGATTCACAATTGCATTTTATACAACATAATTAGATTAATTAACTTTTTTTGTTGTTGTTACTTAAGAATTTTGATCAAGCCTTTGTAAGAGGCAATATATATCAGTTCAGAAAGACCCCTAACATTTTAAAACCAATTCTTACATTTCCAAAATAAGAAGAGGACATTTAATTTCCTATTTGATACATATTATTCAGTAGAGTAAACAACCTATCTGCCAGCAGTAAAAAAATCAAAGAGCTCTATGCCAACTGAATAGCATCTTTTAAAGAACACTAGAAAGTGGCCCAAAAAGGAGCCCTTAGAAGCAGGTGCAGGTTTTCTAGTGTTCCTAGGGGAATCTGCCATTTCAGAGAAAGTGTTGTCACTAAGAATTGCACAGTGCTCCACATCCAAGATTACCTATAAGGGTGACCAAAAGTATTTCCAACTACAATGGCTATCCACAACAGAGCAAAAATAATCAGGAGATGTGGCAACCACTAAGCCTTATTTAAACTGAATTCTAAAAGATATGTCCTCCCTGTTGCATTTAGCCTCCTCTGTCAAAGGCAACTAATCTTTCCAGACTATTTCTCTAGACTATTTGAAAAATAGCATGCCTATGCAGTTCATTCCTTCAGATTCAGGGTGATATCTAGACCTACACATACCCAGAGAGGGTAAAGGCTACCACTATCTCAGTAGAAGCAAAAATGAGGGCCAAGGGAGTGCCAGCTGCCTCCAGAAACCAGGGTGTAAGGGCCAAGTCATCACCCCGCGCTGGGCCTGGCCGTGGACAATGAGCTGGCTCGGGGCTGCGGGTAGCGCTCACTTGAGGGGAATAGCGTGGGCACGGGTGGCTGGAAACGTCACAAACCGGCGCGATGTCTCTGAGAGGGCTCCCAGGGTGGGCCAGCTCAGCAGCCTCCATTCTGGCCACCGTCGCAGAGCCACAAAGACGACTTCTGTATTTCAACATGCATTATCTTGTCATCTCTTTTAATCTAGAAATACCATATTAAGAAAAGCTTGATAGAAAAGATTATGATCAGCTTAAATACACTGTTTTCATTCAGCTCTAACAAACTCAATAGGAAGACTATTTTACAAATGAGCACAATGAACTGAAATTCAATAATCTAGTTAATCCAAGCATATTGAAATAAAATTACACATATATATTTACACACACGTGTGCATGTGTGTGTGTGTGTGTGTACAGTGAGGGGGGACCTACTGCCTTCACATATGTACTATTTCTGTTATAAAGTATGGGTAAGTAAGGAAAGTAACACCACAGCTCTTTTAAGTTTAAGGATGCTCTCCTCAGGATGATTTTAGCTGCAAACATAAACCCAAACAAATAAATTTATAACAAATTTGTAATTTAAAAATCTTAATACCATTTTAAATGAGTAAAAAATAAAATTAAAATATTCAGTGATTTTATTATATTCACCATCAGAGAAGACAAAGGTACTATCCAGTTGAGTCTATACGAAAAAGAAACACACACATTAATATCCGCAATTTGATACCCATTCCAAACACAAGAAGTAACAAATTTGGTGACAAAGCTGTCAAAATATGTTCCACAAATACATTGGCAAGAGATCCGGACATACTAAAGAAATTCAGTGAAACAAAATAGGTGCCAAATGGGGATGTTTGACAGAGTGTTCAAAAATACATTTAGACCAAAGCAGGAACACATCCAACAGAGAGATTCTCTACATAAATTATCATGAAACTATTAGAAATAATTGGCCAGTGATTTCAAAATATTACATATACTTTTAATGTTATCAAAGAGCTGTGTTGTGAACCATGTGTGATTTCTTGGCGATTTAATTTTTGGCCACACAACAGCGTTTTTAAATGCAAGTGAAAATACTATATCCCATACTGTAAGTCAATCTGTAGTCTTTGAAATTGCATTGAGCTTCCAAATGCTTTGAAAGGCTGCTAGGGGAAATACTATAAAATTCTGAACACTCTGCGAGGCTGCAGAGCACGGTCCTTGCAGGGGCTCAGCCAAACATGCCTCCCTGCGAGGCCGAGGAGAGCCTAGATAACAAAGACGTCGTGACCAACCGCTCCAACGGAGTGCAGTGGTGTCTGCGGCCACAGCACCCCAAACAACCGCGTCAGCGGAGGCGTTGGCACCTGCAGCAGGTATCCCAGTGCCCATCCATTCTGGTGCACTCCTCTGCCATCGCTAAAGGTAGATAGGCACAGGGAGGTGTAAGTGTTTGGCTGGTCTAATGGGAGCAGATTAATTTATATAGAGTGCTGTATTACAGGTATTTTTTAAATAAAGTCAACTGAACGTTTCCTGATACATTTTTGAGTGAAGATACCTACATGAGCAGCATCCTCCTGCCCTGCACTTCAGCTGGATGTGTTGGTGAGTGAAGAGGAGGATTGGAGGTGCTACTCTGCAGAGCTACCTGTTCGCAACCTTCACACACTTTGAAATTCAAATTTCTATTGTTTAATGGTTCTCAAAAAATAGAGATCTACAACAGATAAAAATCAGAATAAATCAAAGTAGACTACTCAGAAAGGAGACAAAAAGAGGCCAGGCAGCACATATACATAAAAGACAACGTTCTTCAATGTCAAACCATTTCCTTTCATTCAGTCAATACAAAAGTAAACAGTACCGCATATTAGTTCTCTTACCACAGAGAAGCACCAGTGTAAACAAGCAGCATTGGTAGAAGGGCACCAGGGGAGCTTGTTTCAGCCCAGATTTGCACACCAGCTAAATACTTACATTTTAAGCATGCACTGAAATCCAGAGTGCCTGCACAGATCAAGTCGAAAGCCTAAGGCTCTGGGGTTAAATGCTGGCCCACCTGAAGTGTATGGAAATATATTAATTGACCTCACTACAGCCTATTATAATCTACAAAGGTTTCAATAGTGCACTGATCTGGGCCTCCCATTAGGGCATTGAGCCAAGTGAATAATCTTTGTTGTATGTTCTCAAAAGCTTGCTGTCGATTGTTTTAAAAACATTTTTATATACACATAATGAAATTTCCCCATTATTATCCTAAATCAAAGAAACCTACCCTGAACTTGAGGCAGTACAAGGTAAGATTTGTTATTGTGCTTAACTCCCGGCAAGCTCATTCCTTACACTTGAAATCACCCTCTGAGAAAGCCCTCTACCGCACAGACAAGATTTTTCTTAGTGCAGAAAGATCAGTTTTCCTGAACAACCAAAAAGAAAAAAGGCAGAGATATAACTTAAGTAGCCCATAACTCTGTTTATTCAACTGCAATGAGAACTTTCCAGAAAAGTCTCGTCCAGTGTATGCTATTACTTCTCCTTATTTATTTGAACATCCTCAAGGGCTGCCTCCAGCTCCCTCCATCCCTCACAGTGCTGTCCCAGACTGTCAGTGGGCTCCTTCCCTTCCCACCCCCCGCTGCCCCAAGCTGTGGCAGTTTTGGGAGCAGGGCAAGGAAAACCTCCAACTTCTGGTGGAATAGAAAGCGGGAAGAGTTTTGCGGTTGCCTTGAATTCTGAGAAAACATTACATTTTTGGACAGTAACAGGAAAAATACATAACAGCATAGATAAGGTTTTTTACTTATTATTAAAAGATCATGATTTTTACCTTTGAACTATACCTTTTGGAATTGGTTATCGAGCTTTAAGAGCCTTTGCTGGACATATATGTATAAGCTTTTTTGCTGGACAAATTTAGTACAAAAAATTACTATCAGCCATGCAGACTGAGTTACCTAAATGGGCATTTTTTCTTCTGCGTGAGCACTTTAAATTTAATATCCTGTTAAGCAGTATTAACCTTTAAGTTGCCATAAAATCAAATAATTGTGTTTATTAATTTGTTTTAATTGCCAAGCACAGATAAGCATATGTCCTACTTAGCCTGGGAAAATCTGAATGCACACCTGCTCCAACAAACAGTCTTTAAAATGAGACGTGAGGAAAATATTTGAATTACATTTCCTTGTTCCAACATACCATTTTTAAAAAGCACTTTCAACAGTGAACTAGGCCTTTACAGTTAAGGCATTTTACAAGATGATACTGAGCTATGTTTCCTGTCTATGAAGAAGGCACCAGCATATAAAATGGTAGTGAATTTGCATTACCTCCAATCCATCATTCTTTGAGTGCGCAGGAAAAACTGTGAGACCTGCTGCAACAAAGCACAGCCTTGTGTTGACAGATTCTTATTTAAGTGACTGTGAATACAACAATTCCACAAATAATTTGTCAAGTGTGTGGCTGAACTAGCTCTGAACCCTGATAAATACCAACTCTCCTCACTGCTACAAAAGGCATGATGTTCTGTGTGCGGGCAGTGAGTAACAAGCACCAGGATTTAACAATCGATGCTACTATATTTCTCTTTTCTTTGTGGTTAAAAAAACCTTGAAGGGTGGCTCTTTCAGCAGTGTTAAGTACTGGTGGTGGCTATGCCTTACAAATCTAAGTAATACACTGCAGGCTGAGGTGGAAGGAAATAGCACACTGCATCCATTTTTAGCTGCATTTAAAACATATGGTTTACATTCTCTGGTGAAAAACAGTCATTACTGTATAGTTAGCAGACTCTTGTTTAATATAGGCTATTATTAAACGGACCTCTTTCGAGTTACGATAATAGGACATCTACTTTGCTGCATTTCGCATCCTAAGGCGTCCATTTGGGCTGGGGTAATTCAAGAGAAGAGTCTCTTTTAAGAAAAATAACAGAAACTCTAGAGGAACACATGTACATATTAATAGGGGAAAAACACACTCCTTCCAGGTATTCAATTGAAATCAAGATTGCATTTTTCTATCATGCAGTGCATTCTAAAGGCATTATGGATGTGTGAGAAAAAAATAATTTTTAAAGAAATGTAAATCTAATCAGTCTTGAAGCTAGCAATATATACATAAATGTCTCTTGCAGACATAATTTAGTATGCATTATTAATTTATTTTTCATAAAGCTTTCCAGCTACAAAAAGGATAAGTGGAAATGTGCACCCACATTGACGATAATGCTCATTTGTCAGGCAGGAGTGAACATATTAACAAATTTCCCCCTCCTGAAATTCCAACCTAAAGAACGTTCAGAATCTTTGCAGAAAGATCAGATATGCCTATTGCAAACAAGATCATTTCAGACATTTTAATAAAGTGCCAACCTTTAATGGGACATGAACTTCGGCATGCAATTTTCAAGGCAAAACTGTTACAAACTCTGGACAGCAAAAAAATTATAATCATATAAGTCAATTATATTTATACTTTTGACTGTAAAATGCCAATGCCTATAGAAATAATTAAGTGTGTGATATCAATAACTAGTCCCAATGTAAAATGCTAATTATTTATTGTTTATAAAGCAATTTCAAATAATGCAGAACTCATACACTAGTACTATCATGATTTTCCAGTCATTAACTTAACCAGAATTTGCATTTTGGGACTAGAGCCAGTGACTTACATGCACTACTTAAGTCATTTTTCAAACACCCTGTCCCATCTTAATCTATTCATCATTAATCATATTTGGTCACTTTACATACAGAACACTATTCAGATGAAAGATAAAAGAAATACATTAATAAAATTAAAGCTAGAGTGAATACTTGAAAATATAAAGTTAGTGGAGGAATATGGTTATCAAAGCAATTTATACATTATGCCTATTAAAACAGACTTGTCTGAGCAAAAGTTCTGAGAGTTATTACAGGCTTTTTTCCTGTAATGGAAAGGGTACTTAGAAAGCCACCTTTGTACTTTATCCCTCCCAATCACCTTTAATTGTGTTTACAAAGCAAAGAGAAGATCCCTAAGTTTTGTACCTTTCATGAAATAGGAGGAGAATATATTGATAGCTGTTTACTTGTCA